GTTAGATACAAGGTGATTTATTTACAATGTGAAATAAAGGAACCAAAACGGGAGTGTCAACACTTCAGGGTGAGCCAAGGCCAAAACAAATCTACACAAATCCCGCACCCCTGACCTTACCAAAACAAAGTCAAAAATAAAGACAGAGTCTGACCTCCTTAACTAACTCAAAACAGGAGAAAACGGGTGATCAAAAGAAACGGCAGCTCACCCCTACCCACTCCACTTCCACAACTTTCAAGCGCACTGCAGCCAGCGGCTACCACAGGAGTACTGCTGGGTGATGAGGAGAAACGCCTTTTAATGGGCGGGTCCTCCAGCTGGGACCAGTCACATCGGGGCGGTGTATCCACGCACCAATCGGAGCAGGGCCCTGGCACAGCTAAATTAACATAAAAAGACACAACACCTGCACAAAACAAACACATGGACATGCGAGTTCGTAACACACCTTTAAAGCCTACACTGGTGTTTTTACACTGTATAGTTTCTGGAATGCTTAGAACTCATATTGCTTTGAATAGTTTATTTTGATGCACGTGCTGGTTTTTTCTTGCAAATTTGATTACAATATTTATTTTTGTTTTTCTGCAGTATATAAAAATTGGTGATCTAAAAATAAAACTATGAGACACTCAAAATAAATTTCCTGTTGTTGAAACTATTTTTGCAACTTTTTTGTATTTACAGTTTTGAGGGATAAACCTCTTAAATTTCTCTAAGCTAGAAATATATGTAAAAAAAAAAAAAAAAATTTTCAATTTTTTTTGTAGTTTATTGCACTTTTTGCAATTTATGTAGTTACTATGGACTTAATGCATACACATATTACAATTTGGTCTATAACAGTTGTACTGATGTATGGCAACTTAAAATGCAGCATGAAAAAATATAAAGATAAGCTGTGGCAGACTTCTATGGTAGGTCGTAAAGGGTTAAATAAACAGCATTTATACATCCGTTTTCCTCTGCTTACCCATTTCAGATTCAGGAGGGCAAAAGTTGGAGCGCATCCTGGACACGCTGCCAGTCTAAAGTTCCTCTCATAGCACTCAGTTACTCAGTTCAATTTTATTTATACAGCACCACATCACAACAACAGTCACCTCAAGGCACTTTATATATTAAGGTAGACCGTAAAATGTCTTTTGTGTCAAATGTCAAATGACTTTAATCTCGTAACTGACTTTTTTTTTAAATATGGTGTAATACTGCCTCGTAATATAAGTTATTTCTTTGGTCATAAATTATTTTTGTAATCATTTCACCAAAACAGACCTGAAATAATCCCTACATGTTCCATTTTCATTTGCAGAAATGACAAAGCCAAAAACCAAACCATGCCCTTCCTGTCAGGCTCAAACACCTGCAACAGGAAGACATGCAGTGGATGCCTGGGCAGCCTGAACGTAAAGAAACTAACAAGACATGAATATACACATAAAATATTATTATAAAAGAGCATAAATAAAAAAGTTATTCACATCAGAATAACATCATCACACTAAAGACATCAAACTAGAAAAAACTTCAACTATTTTAATTTAAGCTACTTCTGATTTTTAATTTAATCGGCTATTAACTGAGAGACAAAACATTTCAAGATGGATATTTGAAAGTTTAGAATAGAATAGAATAGAATTCAACTTTATTGTCATTGCACATGCACAGGTACAGGGCAACGAAATGCAGTTTGCATCCATCCAGAAGTGCTTTAGTGATATAGATATATTACAATATATATTAGCAATAATATAGATATGTAAGTATATTACAGAAATGGGTCTATTATGGTCAAGGTAACTTTTTTTATACCCATGGGCAAGGTAAATTTGCTTACAGAAAAAATGACAGCATTTGGCATCCCTTTAAAAACACACATACCTAGTAAAGATATAAACCTCACTGTGGCACATATATAGTAATTTTAATATTTCGAATCAAAAACAGTTCTTATTTAATTCAGTGACAGCAACGGGGACAAAGCTATTTTTATAACGCTTTGTCCTGCATCTCGGAAATAGAAACCTCCGTCCTGAGGGAAGAAGCTGAAATTCACCCCTTAGAGGATGGGAACCATTTTTAAGGATTGATAAAGCCATCCTCTGTACCTGCTCAGAGTACAGGGAGGCTAAACAAGACTGTGGCTCACCTATCAGACGACTGGACCATCTCACTATCTGATTCAGAGAGTTTTTCTCTGTGACAGAGGTCTGACCGAACCATGCCACCAAACAAAAGGATAAAACAGACTCAATAAAAGAACGAGAAAACAAAGTTAAATTTTTTGGTCAATGTGGAAATGAACAAGTTTCCTAAGGCAATAAAGGTGCTGGTGACCCTTTTTACAAACTGATTTGCAATTTTGATCAAAGTTCAGTTTTTCATTGATTATGGTCCCAAGATATTTATATGATTGTACTTGCTCTATTTTCTGACCTTTAATTAAAGTGACTCCGTGCCCATTTTGTTGTTTCCTAAAATCAACAACCATGTCTTTTGTTTTAGATATGTTCAGCTGGAGATAAGACTCCTCCCACCACTGAACAAAGTCATCAATGACTGGGCCGTGGTTAGTTTCACCCTCTTTCAGTAAGCTGACAATAACAGAGTCATCTGCATATTTAATAATGACCCTGTTTTCATGTCTGCCCTGACACATGTTTGTATAGAGAGTGAATAATAAGGGCGATAGGACGCAGCCTTGAGGAGAACCTGTGGAGGAGAACACTGGGTCAGACAGAACCCCATTTATTCTCACTCTTTGTGACCTGTCAGTTAGAAAATCTAAAATCCAGCCCAGCAGGTTTTTCCTGATTTCAAACTGTTCTAAAAGTCTTTTAATTAAAATATGGGGCTGTATTGTATTAAAAGCCGAAGAAAAATCAATGAAAAGAAGTCTTGCAAAAGTCCCTTTACTCTCTACATGTTTAAGAATTAGATTTAGTAAAGTCAAAAGTGCGTCCTCCACTCCTCTGTTGGGCCTGTATGCAAACTGCATTGGATCCAGCTGACCTTCAGTCTCTTCATAATCACATTTCTGATGATTTTTTCAAAGACTTTCATGACAACTGAAGTGAGGCAACAGGCCTGAAGTCGTTTAGATTTAGGGACAGGAACCACGACTGCTTCGTTGCAAAGAGAGGGCACATGTTGTGTTTGCAAGGATTTGTCAAAAATAACCTGAAATATAGGCCTGAGTTCATCAGCACAAGATTTAATTAGGCGGCCACTAATATTATCAGGACCCTGGCTCTTGTTCACATTGACTGTATGAAAGGCCTTTTGGACATCGCTGAGTTCAATGATAAAGTGCTGAGTATCTCTCAGTTTCTGTTTCAGTTCCAAAATATCCTCGCTAAAATCAGAAGAATTAAAACGAGCATAAAACATGTTTAAAGCATTTGAAAATCTCTGTCTGAATTAAAACCATCTAAAATTACCTGACTGCTGCTCTGCGTATTTTGAAACCCTGCTGTGGTTTTCATACAAGTCCAGGCAGACCCAAAATTTTTTGCAGCAAATTTGCTTTCACGAAGGTTTTTGTAGCTCTGTTTTGCTTTCAAGATCTCGATTTTCAGTTCCTTGGAGTGTTTCTCTAACAGGGGGACACTCTTTACACTCAACTGAGCACAGGGACACTGAGGAACCAAACCACAGTCCAAACCCAGGATAAAGAGGTTCAGTGAATGTGGTGTTGAAGGTGTGGAGGTGGATCAGAGTGTGAGAGGAGACTCTGTAGAAGGACAGAGTGCCAGCAGGACAGTCCACATACACTGCTACTCTGTTAGAGACAGAGGAGGAGGAGGAGGAGGAGGAGACGGATTCTGATGTCTGGTTATGATAGACGGAATCAGGACGACCATCATAGCATGAAAGACTCCAGGACTGATCATTCCATCCAAACGCACAGTAATCACCGTCTCCTTTCCTTCCGATTCTTCTGTAACTCACAGATATAAAAACTCTTCCTCTCCACTCGACCTCCCAGTAACAGCGACCAGTCAGACCATTTCTACACAGCAGCTGGTAACAGCTATCAAATCTGTCTGGATGATCAGGATATGACTGAACCTCCTGCACATGTGTCACCTTCCTGTTGTTGTCAGACAGTTGGAGCTTTGTGTTCACTGTGTTTGTGTCGATTGTGAGTTGACAGGAATCTGATGGAGAGAACAAACACAATCCAGCTGCAGTTATTGATCCATCATCTGTTCATTGATTGACACTTTGATGATGACTCCTGACATCAGAGATGTGAATGTGTGCTGCTTTGTTTTCATGAATCCCATTAAAAACACACTTACACTTCCTCAGACCTGGTGTCAACCACTGGACTCCAGCAGGCTCCACCCTGAAAGGAGGAGGGGGGTCAGACCAGCACAGTCAGCATGCACACATGGACATTACATGGCTCTCATATATATACTGTTAGACATTGATAAAGGAACAGTCCAACATTTTCACAAATACACTTCAATCCATATGTGGATAAAACTGCTGATAACTTGGATTGATGCTGTATCTGTCTGTACACAGCTGTATTGAATGAAATATGAATGATTCAAACTCTGACCTTCATTATCTTAATATTCCTCTTATGTTAAGCTGGGGAGGAAACTGGCCTGCATTTGCTGTCCACCAGAGCTTATCAACAACAAAAAACAGCTTGTGCATCAACATAAACTATTTCCACAGTGAAATTTGAGTTCTAAGCATGCCAGAAACTATACAGAAAAGCCAAAAATGACTTTAAAAACCACCAGTATAGGCTCATAAAGGCCCTAAAGAGAAAAACTAAATTTTAAGTGAATGTAGCACCGGCTTCTGCACTATGAGCATCATGTTAGCAAAGGTAGGAGAGCCAAGCACGAAAGACGGCACCGCAGAAAACATTTTTTCGGTGAAAGTTGTGTTCAAAAAATGCGCCCCTCCGACAGCCAAACCCATCTGTTCTCTGACTGGATTGTTACATTTGTGATTGACATGACATTGACCAATCAGATGAGAGGAAGAAAAATAGGGTCAAGATTCGTACTTGTAACTTGCAGGGTTTTTTTTGGCTAAGTCCACACACAAATCTTTTTTACACACACAAATCTTTTTCACACACACACACACACACACACACACACACACACATGTCAGTAAAATAACTATGCAAATATTGATGTCCTTGAATGCTGAACACTGACTGATTGTATCTCTTGTACTTTATCAACGCAGTATCTAAAAACTTTGCATCGTAGTGGTTAAAATCTCATTCTAATAAGAGTTAAAAGTGCATTTGGTTATTAGGTTTATAGGATTATTGAATTATGGTTAACGGTTGGTAGAATTGTTTTTAGCATTATCTGCCAATAACATCTGCCACCTTTCCAAATTTGTGCCCCTACCTGCCCCCCCAACAAAAGTTTTCTAGACACGCCACTGTTTATGTTAGCTGTGAGTCACAACTAACCAAACAAGCTGGTTATGAAACTCTTTGGGAAGGTCAATGCCAGGGCGCTGGTGAGGAGAGTCCGTCCGTTAGTTGAACCTCGGATACAGGAGGAACAATGCAGTTTTCGTCCTGGTCGTGGAACACTGGATCAGCTCTTCATCATCTCAAGAATACTTTAGGGTGCATAGGAGTTTAGAGAACTTGAAGAAGGTATTCGACCATGTCCCTTGGTGGGTCCTGTGGGAGGTGCTCCGGGAATATGGGGTGTCTGGCCCATCACTACGGGCCAGAATCCTTATACACCATTGTAAGAGCTTGGTCTGCATAGCCGGCAATAAGTTGGACTTGTTCTTGGTGGGTGGTGAACTTTGCCAGAGCTTCCCTTTGTCATCAATTCTGTTCATAATTTTTATGGACAGAAATTCTAGGCTTCTAGGCTTAGCCAAGTGGGTGAGAAGCTCAGCCATTCGAGAAATGCTAAGAGTAGAGCCGCTGCTGATCTAGAGAAGGATGCCTCATCTTGAGATGATCTAGAGAAGGATGCCCCCATTGGGGCCTGAAGTTAAGGTTACTGGAAGTCAAGTCCCTTTGGATAAGTTAACTGATACCCTCGGTCTGCTTACTTCTCATCTTTCTCACACTATAAGGAATCTCGGAGTGTTTTAGATAGCTATTTTAAATTAGAGAAGCAAGCATCCACAGTAGTGAAAACCAGGTTACGCGAAATTGCCAATCAAAACCTTATCTTTCTCGAAGAGATCAAGAAACACAAATTCATGCCTTCATCACTTCTAGACTGGATTACTGAAATTCTCTCTATTTCTCTCCATTGCTCACAGTTAGTCCAAAATGCTGCTGCACGTCTTTATCGAGTGTTAGAATGCACACATCACTTCAGTTCTGGCTCCATGTCAAATATCATATTAATTTTAATATTAGTCTACTTACTTTTAAAGTTACAAATAATATGGCACCCAGTTATTTAAGCCAACTCCTCAACAAGGATGACCCCAAAAAAGCACTGATATTGTCTAACCAGATGTTCTTAGTACAACCAAGGTCTCAATTGAAGCATAGAGGAGATCTGGCATTCACAGTAGTATCACTCAGACACTGGAATAATCTGACAGAGGATATTTGACTTCAAAGTCTATTCAGTCTTTTAAATCACATCTTAATGCTCACTTTTTCACTTTGGCTTTTAATTCAAGTTCAGAAAGATCATTTCTAACCTTCACTAAAGCGGTTTCTATGAAAGCTGACTAAAACTCTTCAGGTAAGACCTTCCTCTCCAGAGGACTTGTTTGACAGCTACTCTTTCAAGAATTTTTGATATGAAAGGAAGGCTGGAGTTTAGCCTATAATTAGCTAAAACCACCGAGTCAAGAGATGGTAAATACATACAAGAGAATGATGGCCATGACAACCCAATGCCCAGTGAATATTTCATGCAGCAGAAACCCAAGAAATAGAAGCAAGAGGAGGAACCATCATGTAAGGAGAGGCCCCTGCACGATATGTACCACTGGCAGATAGACACTTCCTCGCACATCCAGAAATCCTATCAGTGGTTGGATAAAACTGGACTGAAAAAGAGCACAGATCCATACCTGAGAGTGTCCAGTCTCCAGCTTAAATCCCTCAGACCAGCTGACAGCAGCTCCATTCCTGAGCCTCCTGGTTGATTGTAGCTCAGGTCCAGCTCTCTCAGATGGGAAGGGTTGACACTCAGAGCTGATGCCAAACAAGTACAGCCTTCCTCTGTGATCAGACAGCCTGACAGACTACATACAAAAAAACAGCAACAATTCAATCTATTTGCATCCTTTCAATTGAATTAAGCAGCATATAAGTGATGATTCCCATCAGTCATCTCACGTTTCTTAAGAGTGTAAGGGAGCACCCTAAAAATCGAGGTCACGATTCAACTTTCTAGGAGAGACTGCTGTTAAAAAAAGGAAAAAAAATATGTAGGTTCCACCTTTGGCTCGTACCATCCCCAGGCAAATTGAAGATAGAGCAGGGGACACTAAGACAAAGTTGTTGAAGAGGTACATAATTCAGGTTAATGAGTCTACTGAAATTGACGGCTAATACTACTTGTATGTGCAAGATATATGTGTGCATGACAACATTTTTTTTTGCGCTGTCACTACCAAGCAAAACCAGTGGTGTAGAACTATTCAAAATTCTGAATGGTTACATATCAGAAAAACTGGATTGGTTTCTCTTGGTCTGCATATGCACAGAGAGCTGAGTGGAGTTTGCACTTGACTGCAAGTCTATGCACTGTCATTTACAGGGAAATTGTGATTATCCAAAAAATGTTACTCGAACCTAAAAACACAATAAACAGTGTCATTAATGTCATTAACTACATCAACGTGAATGCCCTAAACTCAGGTCTATTCAAGCAGCTTTGTGATGAGATGGATGCAAAGCACAAACGCCTTCTCTTACACACAGAAGTAAGATGGCTAACTAAAGAGAGATCCTTGGTCAGAATTTGAGTAATGAAAGCTTGTGCCGAGACTTATTCCAAGAAAAAAAACTGTGATCCAAACCAAATTGTGAAGTACAGTTGACATAAGTGACAAACATTGCATGTCCTTGTCTCCCATTACTCCCAAATGGACTGGCTTCTTAGGTGGGAAACAAACAGCACTGACATACAAGAACAAAGCATACACAAAGGAGAAGGAAGAAAAAAAATTGAGCATATGTAGTATTGGATTGATGGAGCATGTTTTACAGATGAAATGGTGCCTCAGATCATAAAGACTCATAGATGAGTACAATTGATGCTAATAAGACAAGATAAGTGCTGCAGAAAAAACATCAATCTGCTGAATTTAAGTTTTTATTTTACCGCTGAATTCATTAACATCAAGAATAGATGGAGTGAAAATCATTATCATATCATCATTACATAATTCTGTGTGGTTTTCTCATTTTAGCTCATTTCAGCTCTAAAATATATACTACCAGCCAGGTTTGGACACACTTCATTCAATGTGTTTTCTTTATTTTTGTTACTTTCTATAATGTAGATAATAGCCATAATCAAACCTAGCGTAATAACACTATCTATAATGATCAAAACAGCACAACAAAGAACTCAGAACAGAAGTATTGAATCCTCTTCTTTTTATTCTTTTACTGGACAGAGAAAATGCAGAGTGAGAGTGTGCAAAGTATTTATAATTATTTTATTCAATCATTACTTTCCGGAAAGGGATGTGCACAAGGCTAAGCCACTTGCAGATCTGAAGCATTAAGCTGGATGTGTATAACATAGTCAGTTATACGTCACACACAGTTTCGATCAAAACAACTTCTGCGCTTCACTCTGCCTACTTCCTCATTTTCTGTCTGCATCCTGTTCCTTTGCAGCTCTGCACAAAGCGTTCTGCACAGTTTCCTGTCTCACTCAGCAATCTATGACCTTTCACATACTGTATGACTGAAAGATGGCCTGCTTTAGTATACTGGCCTACATAAAACAATATAATCAGAAAATAAGCACTAAGAATATATATTTATTTCCTAACAGAAGCCATAATATAAAATTGACTCAAGACTCAAAACTGCTGGGTCACAAGGACCCAGAACAGTGACACCTAGGGTGTTGCCTAGGGATGGGTATTCAAACCCGGTTCTTGTTGAGAACCGGTTCCCACTGTTTCAATTCCCTGGAATTGTTTGCTGTTTTTGCAAATGATTCCCTTATCGATTCCAGTCGCCCAGTAGCGGTTTTAGATACGGGCGACACGGGCGGTTGCCCGGGGCGGCATCGGGTGCTTTCGGTCATGCTGCACTGTGTTGTTGAGGGTGGGTCTTTGGGGTGATGGTTTTTTAAGCAGGTGAATTGGGTTACCCTGCCAGGTGGTGATCAGACGGACCGGATTATGGCAAAAGATGGCAAAAAAAAAAATAAAACTGCCCGTACTCACATTGCTGCCCATCCAAATTTGTCAGCCAGCGCATTAATTGGGAATGGCATAATAGGGGCACCATCCCATTGTGTTTCTCTTAGTTTCAAGTACCCATTATGCTCGTTGACGATACTGATAGTAAGGACGCCCGCCGATTTTGCGAATGGCTAACAAGTAGTTCGCTCTGACTTGCTTGCTGGTGGGCGCAAGAGTAAGATTGAGGGCTAGATGCTATATCCACAACTTAAAGCACTTGGATGGTCTGGGATCTCTGAGATGCGGTATGTCGCCATGGAAGACCAGCCATTCGTTTTTCGCCCTGTGGACCTGTGAATGTTGTCTGCAATGACAAATAGCTCAACAGTTGAATCTCACATCTAATAACCTAAACTCGCAAAATTTCATAAATATCCATATAATATAAACACTCAAAAACCAACAAAAAAACCCAGCAATCTGTTTCTGAATACAGACTTAATTCATTATGATGCACCGTACAATGCTTTCCCATCCTCATTAGAAATAATCTTAATAATGATTCCGTAATGTGTTCTCGTTTTCTCATTTAATGATATTAGAGACGCCAAACTTAAAGAGCCCTCGATTAAAAATAAGGAGCGCGTAGCACTGTTCTGAACAATTCGAATAGCAACTTAGTTCAGTTCCAAAGAATGTTAATTTTACTCATTGTTGTAGTCTATCTTCCCCTTGCTACATTAGCCAGCCCTTAGTATATAGAGAGACGAGGGTGTACAACGAGGTCCCAGTTTAGCAGCAGTCAAGTAAACAACAATTATATAAGAAGAGTAACGAAAATCTGTACTGAACTATAACTGTCTTTTATAGTCTACCAGATGTGGGAATAAGCTTGTATTTTAAAGGGTTTCTCATGCATATACAAATCTTTTTTAAATTTTAAAGTTTATGAAGTATTAAGTCTCACAGTACAACAATATCTCCTGTCTGATAATAGGAGGTGAGGTAATGATTCCCAATAGGCTGCTTCCAATAGACCCACATTTTCATTTCATTAATGCTGTAAACTCCCATACGGACCATTCATTGTTGTAGATTTCTTACATTTTACTGGTTTCATGCTGTGGAAGATCTCAGAGAATCACCCCAGACCAGATAGTTGACATCTCTAGTGAACTAGAGGATGTAGGTTGTGTTAGGATTTTGTGCGTGATCACCTGAGACATAGTGATCTGTGAACTAAGGTGTAGGTCTGTTAGGTTATGTGTTGTGAACCTTGGGTTGGGGATCATACTGGAGTGCAAAATTCAAACCAATGGAAGATGGACAAGAAAACTTCTAAGCCATCAGGTGCTCAGTTTAGAAAAAAAGAGAAAGAAGAAGAGGAGAAACGAGCAAAAGATACAGGTAAGCAGATGTGTCATTGGATAATGGCAGGTCATCCTGAAACAATCAGAATCAGAACACTTTATTAATCCCTAAGGAAATTATGTGGGTTACAGTTGCTCCAAGAAGAAATGGTAAAAATAGCAACAGTAACAGACTAAACTCCAAACAATACATTATGTTAGAGAGGGAGTGTTCGCCCAGGGCGCCAAACAGGCTAGGACCGCCACTGCAGTCGTCCCGAATGACGTCACAACGTTGCGTTGGCTGAAACGCTCAAAAGTTTGGTTATACTTTACAAGAGCGGATGACAGCAGTGCAACTTGCAATACTTGAAAAGTAGATATTTCATTTAAGGGAGGAAACACTGCAAATATGCAAAACCATTTGCTCACAAAACACACGATAACCTTTTTAATTTTTTTTTTAATTCCGCTCCGGACTCATGAATCTCAACCCAGCAGCAGCGGTAACGTTTGCATACCATATTAAGGAAAAAAAGTCAGTTACGAGATTAAAGTCATTTGACATTTGACACAAAAGACATTTTACGGTCTACCTTAATATATAAAGTGCCTTGAGGTGACTGTTGTTGTGATGTGGTGCTGTATAAATAAAATTGAACTGAGTAACTGAGTGCTATGAGAGGAACTTTAGACTGGCATTCCGCTCCACTCGAATCTCAACCCAGCAGCAGCGGTAACGTTTGCACGTCCTCTCCCGTTAATGCGGCAGGTAAATAATCAACTAACAGTACAGCACGATCTGCCTTATTACAAAACCTGCCATTACTGTGCATTTAGGTGACCATGATGAGAGAAACAGAGTCTGGCTCAGATGCTGGCAGTTCTCGCTGCAGTCTACCGGTAGCAGTGTCTAAGTTTGTGGTCAAAGGCTTGCACCCATTTGCCACAGCAGATGCCCCCGATTTTCGGTAAGTGAATGTGTTTAATTGTAGGCAGGGACATTACTGGATATTCTTGTGTAATTGCTACAGAATAATTTATGTTATACTTTGTTATTGCTACAGAAGAATATTTATTTTATTATTTTACATTTACAATTTTTTTTCCTGGGGACCCTGTGACTTTTTTCATTGATCACTTCTATTGTTTATTATCTAAGCATGTTGACCAAGGTAATACATCTTAAGTTTTATTATCTATATATATCTGACTATTTATAAGACCAATTTTATATTTTCCTAGGAGGACTCCTGTGTGTTCACCCCACTTGTAAAATGCCGTTAGAGCTGCCCCATGATCTCTCTAAGCTCTCACTGTTGGGTTGCTGATATAAGCGACTCACGTTACCATACACTAAATTTTGCAAACATAAAGTCTGAACTTGTTCATAAACAAGACAGAAATAAAAAAATTACAAAAGTCTAATTAGGTTCTTTCTTAATTCTGACCTTTTGTTTTCTTACCTTTATGTTATTTTATAAAGAATATACTCTAATGAAAAATTTCAGAAGTCAATAATGTTTAAGTCACCTCAAACCTCGATGTAATTGTATTAAAAAAACAGAAAAAAACTTGCACTAAAATAAGCTTCCCAAACCAACAATGAAACTTTATTTTGTGAGTTGTCTACAATCATGCTTATTTTCAGATGCACCAATATATAATATACTGCAGAGCAAAACAAAAAAAATATAAAATAGTAAATCTAATTTGCAAGAAAAAAGCCCAGCACGTGCATCAAAATAAACTATTCAAAGCAATATGAGTTCTAAGCATTCCAGAAACTATACAGTGTAAAAACACCAGTGTAGGCTTTAAAGGTGTGTTACGAACTCGCATGTCCATGTGTTTGTTTTGTGCAGGTGTCTGTGTCTCTTTATCTCCATTTAATAAATCCTCAAGTCCATGCGCTCATGTTGCCCCATGCTCCGTTGGTCCGTGGCGTGATACACCGTTCGCCCGTGAATTTGATGCCTCCAAGCTTCTATGGCCTCTTGGTGCCCTTCAGTGGCTGGAGCCTTCCGCCCTGAATTAAAAAGGATCGTGTGTCTCCGTCCAGTACACCCTAAAACTGCTGAGTCACTCCTGCTGTCGTGTTCTTAGCGCAGCTTCTGGCGCTCTCGCCTGCTAGTCCGCGCTTTGGAAGATAAGGATTTTCTGGCATGTGCAATACCATAGTCTCCATTGGTATCTTGCGATATGGTTACATTGAGACTCCGGCGCCGGTTCATGTGCCTTGATTGTCCACCCCGTTACAGTTGATTCTTTCCCTCTCGTTTTCTCGATCGATTTAGTTAGACAGTGTTTCTAGACTTCTTGGTTCTTTCTTAGTTTTCCTGACTGATTGATTATTGTCTAAAATGAGCCGCGTCAGCTGATTGTCAAGTTGGGACCCTTCTCCCGATGTAACTCATTTTTTTGTCTGCCGTACCCGCGAATGGTACTTGGGTATAGAGTGTTGGCTTGTTAGCCTTTGCCATCCACGCTTGAAGCTCGCGTGGGCTCTTTGTTTCACTTCCTCTCTGGTCTTAGACGTGTTTACCAGCATTCCTAGATAGGCTTGTTCCATTGCAGTTATCTGATACAGTAGAAATCCACCCCCTTTCCACCCTGGACTGTGGTGCTGACACTCACTGTCCTTGTTCCTTCTGCTTAATGCAGCCTAAGGGTGCTGCATTTGGTGTGAAACCCTCCATGCATGGTCAGGAGCTTTCTTGTCTTGATGTCAGTGGCTTTTATCTCCTCCTTTGGCCATCTTATTATCCCAGCAGGGTATCTGATAACGAGCAGGAAGTAGGTGTTGATAGTCTGGATCTTGTTCTTACCGTTCAGCTGACTATTCAGGACTTGCCTGACCCTCTGCAGGTACTTGTTGGTTATTGTTTTTCTAGCAGCCTCTTCATGGTTCCCATTTGCCTTGTAACTGTTGCCTATGTCTGCAATGTCGCTTAGTGGTAGTTTGATCCCTTTAGTTCCCACTACTTTCCCTCTCTTTGTTACCACTGACTATACTCCTCCAGTCCGAATGACATTACAATGTCATTTCTGTGATACAATGGTATACAGCTTGATGTCATCTACACTCAACAAAAATATAAACGCAACACCTTTGTTACTGCTCCCATTCCCCATGGGATGGACGTAGAGACCTAAAATTCATTCCAGATACAAAATATAACTACGTCTGAACTCCAGTCCAATTATTCTCTACGAAATCATAGCAGAACATATAACCCAGTGCCTTGCTCCCAACATGTGTTTCAGCATATACAAATCAGAGTCCCTGAGAATCTAGACCATGGGCGTGTTCTGAAATATTTATGTTTTTTCCGGTTGCAAGGTGGGCTATCATTTTGACGCGACTATATTTTGTGAGCCAATAGCTAATATCTCGGCATCGCGACGAGCGGTACCAACAGTGCCTGTACCACGGAATCAAGAGATGCTGATTCT